CTACCATGTTTGAGGTATATATTATCATGTCATGTATCCGCTTGGAATGGTCGCCGGTCCATTCTGGGTTCTAGTGGCCTTAGTCTGCCCACTAGAGTGTGCACATGGTGTCCAACATTTTTATGCTGGCAGATGAGGTAACGGTCATGTGATGATTATCAGGTTATGATTATGAGGTACCGGTTTCATGTTCAGGTTATGTATATGTCAGGATCATGATATAGCAATTATTTTCACTGTTTAGTTTAGTATGAGTTCCTACGGAGCACAATGGACTTTAGTGCACACGCCCCATGTTTATCTATGTTTTTCAGGTCACGGAGTCGGACCGGAGGCATGAGCTGGCGGGTGGTTCAGGATTTTGTTTACATGTAATTTGACATATCAGTGTTGTTACTAGCTCCTGTAGTGGAGTTTAAACATTTTGTCACGCTACGTTTTCCGCTGATTTCACTGTTTGTCAAACTTAGCCTTTTGATCCGATGTTTAATCGGATTGTTTATATCATGTTAATCCGTTTTTCTTAAAAACTAAAATTAACGGATTTCAAAGTAAGGTTGCGGTAGCACTCCGAATCACGATTTCGCAAATTAATCGATATTTTTAAATAAAAGATTTTGCGAAAATTTAACTCTGATACTTATGACATAGCGGGGTGTTACATACATCATCCCTATATATATATATATATATATAGATTTCCAACGCAAAAATTGGATTTATTACATTATAAAGAAAAAATATAATATTTTAAAATTATTTTACACTATATAATTATTTAGCACCGACGTAGTGTAGCATTACACATTGTTCACTGAATTTCAATACGAGTTCGGATGAAAAAGGCCTTCTGAAACTCAACATTTCTCCAAAAATGCACCACAAGCACAACTTAAACTATGTCAGTACTCAGTCTGGATCAGGAATTCGAACACAGTACAGTAAATCTACTTTAGATGAACAATAAATAAGTTGACATTCCATTGAAATTTGAAACGAACCTTTCTCATACCATAACATGAAATAGTTTCTTTTGCCATAAATACTGAATCATCCTCCGATCTCCGTAGCTAAATCAGGCTTTCTACAATAACAAAGTTGCCAGCACGAGCTCAAAGCCCATCCATGCAAAACAAATCTCGAATTTGTAATATGATTTTAGAAAATGATTTCACGAAAGCCTACCTGAATTGGTAAGTACAACTTAAATTCTGGCGGGAGCTCCTCCTCAGAGTAAAGGCGATCGGAGAGATACATCCTTCTGAGCCGGCAATTTGCATGAACCTGAACTCTCAAGGTCTCTACATAATTAGTTCCATAGGCACGTCGAGTCAGATCACTAAGATTCAGCTGAATTTGGTTCCAGCCTTCATCCAATTTCAATGGCATTGTGCAAATATAAGGTTTAACTCTTGTGATACCCTAAAACACAGTGAAAAAAACTATTGTTTTTACAACAACAAGAAGAATAATAGTAAAGAGCCATAATTCTCAATTTAAAAGGAATCAGATGACGATAGATGTGAAAGCACCGCATCAATTTTATAGTCCAAGTCCAATTGAGCAACCTTCTGCCCAAAACATATTAATGGTTCGTGAAAGATAAGCTTTGGGGCTTTTGACCATTGAGCAAGCTGGGAGTACATTACTAGGGGGCAAGTGGGCAAAAAACCAACTATTGAATCAATGTACGATGTCACAACATAAAAAGCATGACTGGTGCAGAGTAGAGTGCATAGAAAATATGCATTCTTAAATGAATAAAATGAGCACGAGAAAGATACACACTAAAGACATAAGCAACATGAATGACATACATCAAGTAATGATTCCAAAAACTACCAAAAGGAAGACTTACAGACTTGAAAATTAGAAGCTCGAAACCGTCGGCGGACATTTTTGTCATCCAGCACATGAATTTCAAATGATAAGTACTTCTTCAGATTTTTCACGATCAAAACTAAGAATGGTAGCTTTATGCCAAGCGTTGCAGTTGGATCAGCTGGACAGGTAATATATGCAGACTGGACATTTGACCCAACTATTTCAATAACATTGGATTGTATGTCATCATCTTGCAAACGCTTGATCTGGCCATTGACAACTGCAAGATTTTTGCCAAGAAAATGGCAAGGTAAAGACTAATGAAAGCTTCTAGCTCAAGAAATGCACTTAGGCACATATATATAACTGTTTGATCACCAAATCAAAACCCACTAACATATTGGGGTATCTACTGGCGGACTAGTGTCTGGAGCACTATTTAGCAAATCTCTGCAGCTTTCTTGATTTTCCAATAACCAATATCAGTAAAACATAATTAAATAAAAAATGCTAAATTGTTTATTTTCCCTCTGTAATTTTTAAACACGTCATGCTGTTTAACGTGCGAACAAGTTCTAAGGAAACCAAACTAAATGAACAAATCCTAAAGAAACCAAATTAAACTATAATGTCAACCTCACAAACAGCATCATGAAAAGAACCCATGAAAGAGAAGAGTCAGATTAAACATGAATAAAAAATGCAGTTCCAGGCTATGCTACCTGGACTCGGATATGGGTGGCATATCGGGTGTGGAGATATGAGCGTCCGACTCGTCAATAGTTTAGAAATCTTGAATATTTTAGGTTAAAATGTCACACCCGACACTCATACCCACACCAGTGTCGACACAACATGACACGGGTATTCTTCCTAAATAGAAGAGTCCGGGTAACATAGGTTCCAGGCACTGGCAGCATCACTAAACCAAATAGACACTAAATCAACAAGTTACATATTCATATCTACTCATGTTTCGTAGTAAAAGCTGTTAGAAATCAGTTTTAGATAATGGATTTGACTTGATTGATTGATTTTTATGGCTACAAAAATTTAAGTCATATAGAATTAAATTATGTAGAAATATTCTAATGTTCCAAATATATACTAGTGGTATATTTATTTTCTCAAAAACTGTTTTTTTCTACGATAAAATAAGTTATTAAGTTAGCATTTAAATTGACATTAAAAGTTAGTTTATGCAGGATGAAAGACCTAAGAGACCTATCTCACACAGAATTCATATAGCAGTTGTGTTTTGTTGTGGCTTTGGTAACGAGATGCCAAGAACCCATCAACACTATATGGAGCGTTTCCGTCTTGTAGACAGAATATAGTCGCGTTGGCTGCCCGCAGGTTTTTGAAGACATTTTGAAGTCATTCAAGTATAATTTTATTTCACCTTTACAGTTCCATTGTAAGAACTGAAACCAATCGTTCGTGACTAACTCTTATATAATCAAAATACATTGTTATAATAGTTGCAAGAAAAAATTCTCATTTGGTGATGACAACCTAGATGGAAGTGGCTTTTTGGACCAAAATCCGCCAATTCAAATCAAAATCCGCCAGTTCAAAATCAATTGGGCATTGTTGCTCTTTCTCCTGTTCATCCATCATCCTATACCTACATCTTATGCTGTAGTTCATGTCCCTACAGTTGGAAAGCCCAAAATTTAACGAGATGGATCTCAAGAGGTGTGACAATAGAAGATGCATTTTTATGGTTTTTGACGAAATAATTGAAGGACAATCCCCCCATTATAGCTAAAATTGAGATCAATATTAAACCGCATGATTTGTACAAAAAGGACATACAAAACAAAGGGTTTTGTGGCGAAAGTACAAGTTTCTAGGTTACAAGATGATAGACTCTACGTTCGTTGTGTCTCAAGTCCAAGGGTATCGATGATATTACGATATCCAAAGAATGTCTTTGAGCGAGTTGTTCAAAATGTAACACTTACTGAAAAGCTGCTGCAATTGAAAGAACTTCAAAAATTATCTCAAGCATAAGTTATCTTAACCAAGTATTAGAACATCACCTTCGAAAGTAGAACCATATGGCAAATAGCTATAAGAAACCTAAAAATATCGAGCCAAAAAAGGGGCCAAGTGCCACACTGCTGAACATAGCCCAAGGTGAGCAGACCGACTGAATTTGGTGGGTAATCCAAGGGTATGGTACGTTGATATTAGTGCCACTCCTATGTATGTTCTGTTAAGGCAAAGAGTTGTTTTCAAATTATACGCCTATTGGTCTAAAACTTCATATGAGCAGCTCTTCAGGCTATTTTACTAGAGTTCGTACTGTGATACTAAAGCTAACTTCAGGAAATGAGCTCCACTTAAGTTTGTACTGTACTAAAAGTCGGGCTAGGCACCCGCATATCTGCTAGGCGGCACCCGCGCGCCCCTATATTTGTCTAGGTGCTCAGGCAATTAGGCCCGGCCTAAGCAGTTGCAAAGTTAGTCACTCCTAGGCTAATAAGACGGTCTAAGAGCCGCCTAGGTGCCCATCTAAGTTTTTTTATTTTTTTAAACAATTCTTTATTTTTATACATGAAATTACAATAATTATAAGCACCTTGGGTCGCTACGGAAGCAGCCTCCTTGTATAATTACAAGGGTAAAGTCTGCATATAACTGACCCCCCCAGACCCCAACCGGTTGACAATATACTCGGTATGTTGTTGTTGTTGTTGTAAATGTACAATAATTATAAAATGATAATAATAATAATAATAATAATAATAATAATAATAATAATAATAATATAAAATTAATATAATAATTATAAGTACATAATATAAAAAATTGTATTTGACCATATTGATTAGTATATCTTATAAAATATAATTTGTAAGTTATGCATGATTTTAAATATAAATAAATTTATCAGTATTTTTATGACCTCGCCTAGGGCCTGACTAGTTCCCACCTAGGCCGCGACTAATTCCAGCCTAGGCTGTAGACCCGAGCCCAGAATTAGCGAGCGTTTAATGTCTTTTAGAACCATAACTGCAAGTTGCGAATGTTTTTAAGAATTTGATCTTCTGGATCACTCCTAGTTGATTATTAGGAATGTTCCTTGGCTAAGGCAAGGGATTATTCAAGATAAATGTGATGGATGTGCATCATGTAACTGCTTCCAATGTTAATGGAAAACCTTTTTATTGTAATGTTGAGTACTTTGAATTGTATAAATCTACAAACAATTAAATATTTAACTTAAACAACAACAACAACAACAACCCAGTATATTCTCAACTGGTTGGGGTCTGGAGTTCAGTTGTACGCAGACCTTACCCTTGTAATTATACAAGGAGGCTCTTTTTGTAGCGACCCAAGGTGCATTGCATTTGTTTGATATATTTTTTTCTAGAAACTTCACTAATAAAAGAAGCACTAGAATTTAATATTTAACTTAAACATGTGAAACTTCACTAATTAAATATTTAACTTAAACATGTGAAATTTTGTGTTAATCAATATGACCAAATTACATTTCCATTTGGTGAAAATGTGTACTAAGTCGTTGGGTGAACTCAAACCAATGTATGTGATAAAAAATTTAACAAACAAAAACTAATAAAAATATGTTCTAACTTTTTGTCGATATGCACAGATTTTTCTACTTATATTTTACTAAGCAAAGATAACATCTTGGAAGCTTTTAAGAATTTTAATGCCGAAGTTGAAAATTATATCCCAATATACATACCCAATATATTATTCCCAACTGGTTGGGGTCTAGGGGGTCAGTTGTACGCAGACCTCACCCTTGTAATTATACAAGGAGGCTGTTTCCGTAGCGACCCAAGGTGCATTGCGTCGTTTGATATATTTTTTTTTCTAGAAACTTCACTAATAGAAGAAGCACTAGAATTTAATTGAGCCATTTTGATCTAGTCCATTATTAACACTATGCCAGGAGAATTATCAACAATGACTTTTCCAGCTTCGTTTGCAATGGACAGTGAAAATTAACTAGACAAAACGATTATAATAATTCGAATTGCTCCATTTGATTGTGAAGACGTCCAATGACAGATCCGTCATTAAGCACATTAATGCGTACATGCATACATGGATTTCCACTCATGGAGAATTTTTAGAAAATAAGTTTGACCTAATTTGTTTGATACTTTGACTATTGTTTAATGGCTAAAAATTAAACACATGTAGAATTAAATTGTGTAGAAATCATTTATGTTCTAAGTAGATAGATGTTAACGGTATATTTATTTTCACAAAACTAATTTTTAGTGAATGAGAAATAAATTATTGAAGCAAGTCATTTAAAATAATATCCATCTTGGATGTTGGACCTGAGTTAAGTTTTCAACACTTGAAAACGGAGAATTAATACCTGACCATTTTCTGTTCATTTTTTGCACACCACCTAATATAGTAGAACCCAAACTCTCTAATATGCTAGGTGGAGGTCCTATAGGATATTTCTAGCTGCAGAAAAGATTTACAAAACATTCATTTGCATACTAGCAACTCAAAAAGCCTTTTGCATCACATATATATATATATATATATATATATATATATATATATATA